CTCACACCTCAAACTGGCATCTCACACCTCCCGGCTTGGGCACGTGCCATCAAGAGTCGTCAGAGTAGAGAGCAAAAGATTATGAGTAGACATATCCTGCTACCACCTCGCGCATGAGCATGTCTATTTCCTTGGGCAAAAAGCGATCTGGCTTGCTGGTCAAACACAATCATTGTAATAGCAATCCACCATAGACCAAGTGCCACTGCCTTTTAAAGGTATGGTCATGTGCCATTCTGATTGGTTATTGCTTGTTACACCCAAAACACACCTCTGAAAACTTAGTGTTCGGACAACCTTTTTACATCTTGTGCTGGCACCAAGTCATTTTTTTCCACTATCCAAATAGCAAAATGGATTTGAACATGCCTGTAACTGTTAGTCGCTCTTTTCACTTTGTATTAGATCATCAAAATAGAGCCTCATGCGTTATTGAAATATTCTGTAGTTTCATTTCAGTTCATCTCTATAATCCGGTTCTTGTGTGGGAACCATACTCTTATACTCTTAGTTGAAATTCTGTAATTCTTGTAATTGCCAAAATGACCTAAATGTAAGCTAATATTGGGAATCAGCATGATACACATGAAAATTTACTTTTATTTAAATTAAATATTAATCTTTTATTGGAAAACCTCTGTTGTAATAACTGTAATATCTTTTCTTTAGAATAAAGGAAGCGATGGGCTTGGCTGAGAGACACCAAGATACCGAACTGGATCAGGTAGGTGCCCAATATACATCTGACCCACTGGTTGGTGTCCTGGGACCTGTTTCTATACATCAATTTGTCCAGATTATGGTTTTGGGACCGGTCCACCACAGACATTTTGTATGGGTGACAAACTGAAATTTTGAGACAAATTACCCCAAAATTGAAACAGCAGCAATAGGTGGCAGCAGAGGGTGGAAAGGGAGGTTGCAGCTGACATCTTGTGAACACAGCAATCTGCCATCTAAGCGTGTTCTGTGGATCTTTTTGCAAAGTTCCCATGATCATTGTACAAGTCAGTGATTCTTAAAATGTGGGGCACAAGGTGATTTTCAGATTTTTCTAAAATAAAGTTTTTTTTTTTCTCATTGCCAGCCCCTCCTTCCACTCAGCAATTTTTATGCGTAGCAGTCCGGTTGCCGATCATCGTGGGAACCTCAACTAAATTTATTGTGGGTGAATTTAATTCAAGTTGGGCTTTGAGGACTTTTTTGGAGAGGTGTATGGTTGGCTTGGGCAGTGTTATGGTAATATTTTTGTCATACTGCATTATTTTCGTTCAGTGAAATCATCATGGGAGAATTTAATCCTGTCACGTAGCGCAAAGTCCCAGTCAGTGGTGGCACAGCAAAGAACAGGCACAGATCTGGTGGTCTGGTCACACAAAGTGCTCCAGCGGCTCCAGACAAATGGCCTGACCTGGCACTCAGAGCCCAAGTTTTTCTCTCAACTGTGTCTATATATGTATGGATGTCAGTCTCAGAAGAAGAGTGATTAATTATGTTTAACCATTCAGAAGTTGAGCTCAGCCATAAAGCAAGATAAAGTCACTTTTTCACTGATATTTCTTGTTTGTTTACAAGGAATTGGTGTACTCTGTCAAAAGTCAACTTTTTACAGTCATGTACCCCCACAGATTTTCAACCTATACCTACATACCCACTTTAGCTCTACACAGTGACATGAAGAGAAATTTTAATGGAAAGCATCAAAAATCAGCACTGAGAACATCAAAGGGGGCCATTTCAGTCATTTGAGGAAAAAGGGGCAGATGCTCAGGCAGCCTCAACCCCCCTCCCTCCCATGTACCTCTCTCTACGCAGACAAACATACACAAATACACAGACTATATACACAGCAAAGTATGAGACATTTAGTACTGTCCATGGACAATATTCATATTCGCGTGTCGTTGAACATGTTAGGGATTGCGGACATATCAACCTGGTCATTATATCAGACATCTATTGAAATCTGTCAGGAAGGAAGCTAATTTCTTACATTACCCATGCATGAATAGCAGCTAGCTAGCGACAATCTTTTGACTCTACTTTCTAGCTGATTATTAAGTCATTGACATATACACAGTCCTAAAGTGACTTTTTGAAACAACAAATCCGCCTCTGGTTGAAGACTGCTGGCTGGTTGTTTGCATGTTTGGTTACATTAAAACTAGTCATGTAAACTGAAAGTTAAACACCACTTCATGGTCAATGTCAGATGTTAAATTTCAAACTCACTGGTTCCATTAATCAACTGAATCCCTTTTGCAGAGATCATGTGACAATCAGGAGATGAATGCCTTGTCACCCCCTGATCCCGATAGACCAAATGCAGAGCAGGTGAATATGCACTAGGGGCCAGTATCAGCAAAAATGTTAGTTAAGCAGTTTTGGGTTGAATTTCGGTAGGGATATGGACAGAAAGAATGGACATTAATATATGATGTTTGTTCATGATCAAAATACTGTTTGATTTTTGTGCCAGAGGACTGTAAATTATTCCATTCACATGGTGACTATAGTCTTGACACCCTTCTGTAAACCAAAAAGTAAGTTGCCACTTCACAGTGACTGCTGCTTGTTTAATGGAATCTGAAAATATGATTTATCTGATTTATGAGCTAACGCTAATACTTTTGTAGAGATCACATGACAGTCACAAGATAGACGACTGTTCACCTGTTCATTCCATTGGATCGAATACAGAGCAGTTAAATAATGAAATATTATCTCTCTGGTTCTTACGACAAGGCTGTCATTGTCACTACATTAGACAGTATCGAATGTATCGATTTAGTGATCCAGTTGCTAGGATGATAGAATTAGTCATGTAAACTGAAGGGTAAATACCACTTCATGGCCTCTACATTATTTTTTGACAAAAAATCAGTATGAATTGTCAATTCATGAAATGTATGAACTGACACTCACTTACAGAGATCACATGACAATCAGGATATGGAGGCATCTTCACCTTCACAATGAACCAAACCCAGAGGAGGTAAATATGCATATCAGGCATTTATACATGTTTAATTAGAAGAATCTATGCTGATTTTATATAACTATACAGTAGCTTAGCATGTTTGGGGCTGGGTTTCGGTAAGGATAAGGTCATTTATATTTGAGGTTTGTGCTTGATTTTTATGCCAGAGGACTATAAATTGTATCCCTGCTTTTATGATACTGGTCTTTGCTGACTTATACATTTTGATGTGACAATAATTATTGTTATGATAGAGCTTTGCTTTCTGCTGTTCCCTGGTTATAGGAAGAGCACTGAAATCCTAATTACAGTTTTCTGTTTGAAGGTGCCAAGATCTGTTGAATAACCAGGCCAGTGAGATAATCAGTCACCAGATTATCAGTGATCTGTTACAGTTTATTGTGTTTGACTTGAGAGACTTGGCTGGGTAGCAGATGCACCTTTGTTTTGAGGAGGCCCACTTGTGTGAATGAGGCGGCCTGCAGTTGTCACGCCCTGCTCCGTCCGCTCCTGATGTTTGTTGGTGTCTCTGTCCTGTTGTCCGGAATAAACCCCGTTTGCCTGCACTCTCGGCTTGCTTCGCCTGCTTCCCGATTCGCTCACTCACCTACCGCAACAGCAGTCCTCATGACCCCGAATCTGCTTGTCAGCTTGTCCAGGAAAAGTCTGTCTATAGAGAGACATACTGGAAGACATACTGGGATAAAGTCGCCTGGGAAGAACAACATGGGCTCCTTCATGTTGTCCTGTGTTTCCCAAACTCCCTATTTCCGACATGCTGCTGTGTCTGTGTCAGGAATGGATATTAGCTTCTCATAATAGCTTGACAGCTTGATTTGTACAATGTACCGAAACAACATGAAATATATTCTTTTGGGTTTTAGCAACAGGCACTGTGACTAAAATAGTTCAAAATCTTACCACACATGAGTAGTTTTCTGTAAAATATCAATGAATAGGGAAAGTGCACCTTCAGGAAAACCCTCCAGAAACAGTCCTTTGTAAACATTTGTATATGATTCTCACATTTGTTGTATTCTTTACAATATTAAAATCTACATTATAATTATATGTAATTATTCTGAATAAATCCTCACTGTTTTTATTGGTCTATGGCTATATTACGCTCATACTAGCACTTGATGATTCCTGTAATTACTCTTCTCTTTGAATATTAATGACAGGTCTTCCCTCAAAAAGTGGAGCAAGCAATCAAGGAGGCATGACTTTCTGGGTCCTGCATCATGTTTTTGGGTCTTATGAATTTCATATGGTTTCATGTAAGGTTTTCATTGAGCATCTATAGAGATTCAGCACGTTCGCTGTTAGATTAAGTTTAAAAGCATCAGGACATTTGTTGCTGCAAGACTGAATATAGTGTGAATCCTGTTTTAAAGCCTCTCAGCTCTTGATCTGAGTGCTTCCTCTGTAGTTGGTGTGATGCTCCTCCACCGGACCACTCACCATGCTGAGCACCAGCCAGGGTGAAGCTGTACCATTCACCATGCTGAAAGCCAGTCAGGATGGGGGGTGGGGGTGGTAATATATGGTATAACAAACTTGTTGGGAGGCTGTTGATCAGCACCAACATGCACTGATATAACCATGGTTTCCTCACCGCTGACCAGCACAAGTGCTTATGGCAGGGGTGGGAAATCTTATCCACAAAGGGCCGGTGTGTATGCAGGTTTTCGCTGCAAGTCCCTAATTAGATTACTAATTAGAGGACTGATTGGCTGAAGAGTCCTCCTCTGGGTTTGATCAGCTGACCTACAGGTTGTCCCAAAAACCTGCATACACACCGGCCCTTTGAGGATAAGATTGCCCACCCTTGGCTCATGGGATATGATTGGAGAGTGATTATGACTCCAGTCTGGGGGGGCAGTCTTTTAATATAATGTGCTGACAATTTTGCAGAAAAAAAAAATAATAATAAATGTGCCTCTATAACTGGGACTGAGATTGGCTGGAATGAAAAGCCATGGAAGACGAGAAACATGCATACAGGTGCACATGTGTTTTTGCAGGTGTAAAATGAAGATTGACCAACATGCAGGGGTGTGACCACCCTGAATGGATCACCACCTCATTACAGGCCCCCTTGTGGTATACTGTGGTATACTGTTTCCTAATGTTCCACAATAAACTTGCCTCTTCTTGGGTCCCTCTATGCACCTACTGTCTCCAGTGTCTCCTTGCCTGGTGACATTAAATTGGCATCGAGTGAAGAGAGTCACTGTATGGATTCTCAGGCTGAGGGACACACTCCCACATCTAAGCATTAGAAGGAAAGAGTTCCTGTCAGAAGTCAATATGGCTGACAGCAGGCTGGAGAAGCAGACTCTTCTACAGCTGCAAGGCCATATACTGAATCCTAGGGTCCAGTTTCCCCAAAACATTGCAGTTCTAAGACCATTGCAAGATGGATGAGACTCTATCAGTTTGAATTCTCTCTCTTACTTATGATGATCTTAGCCCTACGAACGTTTTGGGAAACTGGGCTATAATGTATACCATAACATGCTATATAACATAATAAAGCTAAAACTATTAACCAACCTTCATAATTCTGTATGTACGAGGATGCATACAACCCGATCCCCTTCTCCAGTTTGCTCATCAGAGCTTTGCATTTTGATTTACACATTTCATGTACATTGTTTATTGCCCTATATATAACTTCTGGAAGCTCTTTCAGATATTGTGTGTAAAACAGCTCCATCATGCCGACAACACAGGAATATAGCAGCAGGCTGCAGTTATCGGGGTCCAAGCACTATGGCCTGAATAGAGGCTTTGGCCAAATTCAATATCAAGTGTTCCATTTGAATTCCTGTAAATAAATGTGTATTAAGTGAACACCTTGTGTATGTACAGTATGGCTTTCTACATTATTCTATAGGAGGGTTGCAATTTACATCACACCATACCACGCACAGGAGGCAAAGACCATCATCTACCATGTTCGTGCATTTCTCGTCTGGTTACTCAACGAGTATTGTCTATGCTTTCTTCCGCATTTGTTATGGCCGGTCGTGCTCTTTGCAACAAAGATTAATGATTCTTTAGGATTCCAAAAATTGTAAAAAAAAAATGCAATCCAGAGGGGAGAAAGTGTGTTATTACTAACGAAAATAGTTACACAGAATCTCAAGAGCAGATTACATACAGAGTTTGATGAAATGACTTTTTTAATTGGTAAGAATAACACTAAAAGGATTAGTATTTCTGTGTATTTCTTTACATAAATAATAGCATTAATCGTATGCTGGTGAACACTGGTTTAGTTTTTTTATTAGCATGCTAACGCTACTGCATCTCATTGAGGGATTTCCTTAGTTAATTTGTAGTTATTTAATTATGTTAATTTATAGCTTTCAAATTTCTTATTTTCATATTTCTTTCTGTCCTTACTACTTGCTCATCATGTTCTTTGTCTATCTCATACAACTTACTCTAACCAAGGCCACCTGACCTCCTGGCTCCAGAAGTCTGTATGAAGACCATAGATAAAGGGCCTGCTTCCCTCAGTGGAGGCAGAGACAGATACAGACAGACTCTGAACCGGCCATGTGAAACATCTTTCTGTAACATCTTCATTCTCTCTTAATAAACTGCTTAAGCTTAAGGAACCTGCCTCATCATTTAACTAAAAGAACCTGAGGTTTCATTGAAGAAATCTATCAGCATGATCCCCATTCTGTTCATGGTTGTGGCGAGTGAAGTAACCAGACATCAATGCAAGTACAGTCGAACCTCGTTACAACGTACCCCGTTTATAACGTCTACACCAATACAACGTTCAAATTTCGA